AGAGAAGAGGTGGCTCTCGAGAGAGAGCCCCTCACCATCTCCGTACACCAGCATCCTGTTCATCTCCGATCCTATTTCACTTTAAAAGCCGACGCACAAGTACAGCATCAAAATCCCACGAGCGGCCTGGCCGGTACCCAGCCATGACAGAAAGGCGATCCTTTCCCGTTTGCTTGTAGCTCTAGACGGCATGCCCCTAAAATCACAAAGTCAGGAGCTTAGGGTGCTCACCAGTTCCCCCATGAGAGCCCGCTGCTATGGGTGCAGTCGGATTAAGAACAAAACAGACCCTCGAGAAATGCTCCAAGGGCTTCTGGACTGTACCCAGACCTCTGGGGAGAAGGGGCAGAAGGGGCCGATGGCAAATTCTTGGGGTCTCAGGCTGTCCGGCTGACTGCCAGAGTGAGTGGTGGGGAGCCCTTCAGTCTCACTGAATTCACTGCTTCCCAAAGGAAAGTTCCCAGAGTTCTCCAGCTCTCAAAATAGTCCTTTCCAATGACTGTCCAAAAACTACGCTAAAGAGTGACTACAGCCACTCTCCCTGCAGAGCAGGACCGATCCCTGATCTAGTGTCTCTTTGTGCAAAGCATGCCGGTGTCTGGGAAACCTGTGACAACAGCCTCTAAACCTTTTGAGACACCAAGTTATTGATCTTCATCTCCCCCGGAGCAACCAGCATGGGCCGTGGCACACACTAGGCATTCAGGGACAGCTAGACGGCAGGCCATCTTCTTGTGATCTTCTGAAAATCAAAGGGAAATCTCAAAACCTGATCAGGCGAAAGCCCACCTCCTTCAACAAAGACCAAGGCTACTGCTGCTTCTCACGTCCGTAACTCAGCTTCCGTCTCCTGGGCAGCAGTCGGCGTGGGAGCCCCGGTCCCGCACGCGCAGGCAGTCTGCTCACTCATGTCTGGGGGCACTGCTCTTGGAGATGCAGGTTGGTGGAGGGTGGGAGTTGTCTGCCCTCAATGACACTCCTGCCCCCACAATGCCACACCAGTGTCTCGGTCACACCAGTGACTCAGTGAGCGAGTGCTAAGCAGCCAATTTCATTTGTAATTTCTGAGGCTGCTGCAGGAGGGGAGGCAGAGGATCAACGTGACTAACAGATGAACTTCACTAACTTCTCTGCTTCGACAAGTGAGCCCTACCCTGTTGACAAAAGAGCCACAGTGGTTGCCATGCTGACCTTGTCCCTGTTTGCCACCCCAACATTCTTCCTGCCACCAAAGCCACTTGCACCATCAAACACCTCTAAGACAGAAGCAAAGTCCGAAGCCTGTGTCTGTCGAGAGAACCACAAGCCCCTCTCCACACGTCCATCAGGAGCTGCTCGCGGCATCAGAATCTGAGTGGAGAACTATGGCCAGCTCTGAGCCCCAGCTCTACCCGGCTCATAAGTCCCGTGGAAAACATCTCCGATATATGGTCACCCATCCTTTGACTTAACGCCACTTCTGACAAAGAGCCAACAGCCTCCTGACAGCCCATTCCACTCAGCCCTGATTGACAGAATATTCTTTCTTGGGCAGGACTGAAACCTGCCTGTTGTAACCACCCCCCATGGCTTCAAACTCTGCCCTCTGGATCGCTCTTAAACCCCTTCCATGTGACAGTCCTTCAAAGGTCTGAAGCCAATACTCTTCACGTCTAACCTAATAAGAATCTTATTGTAAGCTATTCTGATGACCTGGGGACTGCACCTTCCTGTCCGACAGGTTTCGGAGCCTCCCTCCAGCACAGCCCGAAGGTAATATATGAGCACATTTTATTTACTGGCAGACAGACAGAGCCCTTGTTCCTGAGCTGGTAACTGCCGAGGCCATTCATCACCGGCCTGGCCCCTTTTTGAAATTCGCTCCGCAGCAGGCGTCTCTTTAAACTCACGCACGTAATGCATTTTAAAGAGCGAGTTCAGCACAGATCCATTTCCTCGACCTCGGCACTAAGTGTGAGATGGAACCATGTTTCAGCCAACTCCTCCTGCACTCCTGGAGCCTGTACCGAACTAACACTCAAGCATGTCCGTAACTTGACAAGGCCGGGGCTCTCCAATACACTGGTTTTGAAATGTCCGTTTGCTGATTAAAATGCCTCTTGCAGAGAAAGGGCATTACGTATGCAGAACCGAGTCCACGGATTTGTATTCCGTAACGCGGTTTTTAATAATGCAGACAAGCTCGGGGTATCTGTCTTAGTGAATCGGCTCCATGCTGCCACCTCCATTCTAGGCAGAAGCAGCCCACATGGCAAACGAAGGCCCTCCTTAGGCACAGGAAAGAGCCATCCGCCACCGTGCTGCTGACGGCTGGCATTAGTTTCTACTGAAAAGACATTTACCGGCACCCTCATACTTCCAATTTTTCCCAATGTGTCCTGAAATCCACTTGAAAAAACATCTTCATGTTCCGTACACTTTCAGTGGGGCTGTGCTAATTGAAAGGCATAAAGCAGGGAGGTCAGTGTGAACAGAACCTATACAGAGGTCCCCCTCCAGTGGGGCTGCAAGGCAGATCTACAGCCCCAAACAGCCCTGGGGGCGGTGTCCTGTGACAACATCCACGCATTGGTTGGCGTCCTCCAGAGCCCGTGATAACACAGGCCTGTCGGTTTCCCTGGCAAGTGTGACAGGCTGGAACTGCTGGAAAAGTGTGTCCTCCTAGGAGTTCTCAAGTCAGTCCCATTTTATTAGATCACTCGTACGTTCATGCTTCCAACTAACTTGTAGAGCAGCAGATGCCAAGACAGACAGCCAGTCCAGACACGGACACGCGAGGACATCCACCGCCAAAACACAGAAACTAAAAGCTCAACACTTCAAAAGTAAGCCCAAGACACTTCTGAAGGTCTGAACGCCATGTGCCTGCGTTAGTGTGGGCGTGGCAGCAAGAGTCTGAGGACCAGTTCCAGCCATCACGTTGAGGAATAGCGCTAGGTGCGTGCCAACTCACGTCACCAGGCACCAGTACCAGCAGGGATCGGCCTGGTGGACACCCTCCAAAGGGAGAGTCAAAGACTTGTAAGCGGTGGAGGCTCTTGCTTCAGTTTCTCCACACTGAAGGAGAGAAAAGAACCCAGCCCATGACCTGTGTCCCCAGCCAATGCCACGGTTACCCCTCCCTATCTAGGAAGGTGGTACCGCTCTGAGCTGTAATACCCATGGATTTGCCACTATGGCAGAAGGGACATTCCGTATTTTACCAAGTGATGATGAGAGTGAAGACACGCACAACCTACCTCCAGCAGTCAGGTTCCAGGTGGGACGCCACAGCTTCTCAGGGACAGCCTTTCCTGAGCAAGGCTCACTCCAGGGACCCCTCCCTGCAGTTGGGCATGGAGCGCCTTTGATTGTACGAATCTACTCTAACTCTTCAGTCTTTAGGGTTCAACAAAATGACTTAGTGGTGTCTGGCTGTCCCTAACCCTACTGCTGATGGACCCAGTAGCTTTCTCATGTAGAACTTACACAAGGCTGGTCGGCAAGGAGGGATTCCAAGTCCGTTTATGTTCTTATTAACAGCTGATGAGTCCTAAGAACTCCATTCTCAATGCTTTTGTGTTTACTACTCTCCCTTTGGAGCTCTGGGGGCACAGTGGTTAAAGCATCTGGCTGCTAACCAAAAGGTCAATGGTTTGAGCCCACCAGCTGCTCTGTGGGAAAAAGATGAGGTAGTTTGCTTCTGCCAAGATTTACAGTCTGGGAAACCCTACAGGGCAGTACTGCTCTGTCCTCTAGGGGTGCTGTAAGTTGGAATTGACTTGATGGCAGTGTTTTTGGGTTTTACTCTCCCATCAGTACCTAGGAACAGAGTTCGGCCCATGGTAGGCACTGAATAGATGTGATGAATGAATTAACTTTACTGAGAGCCTGTCTAAGAAATCAGATAACACAAACCCAATGAGCTTTCCTAACTGAGCCCCCTAGGAGCCCCTAAAGGAGCAGAGAACTGGTGGCATGACTATCAGCTGGGGGGCCGAGCGAAGGGCGTGTTCTTGGTTTTGCAGGAAAACCTTCAGTTAGGTACTGGTTCCAGCTAAGCGTCTGTCCATGCTCCCCGGGATGTTCTCAGTGGGAGCTCATGGCTGCTCACAAACCAATGATTTCCGGGTGCTGGTCTGTGCAAACGTTTCTAGAGGAAGATGCAGATTTGTCCGTGGAGTAACTTAACCAACTGAGACTGGGGATGGGGGGGGGGGGACTTCTCTGATAACAGCCACTGTAACAAATCTGCCCCAGGTGGTTTCATGATGAATAGCTGCCTGAGGTTACCATCCTCCAACTACCAAGCCCTGGGAAAATGCTGGGGGCGGGGTCCTTGGTTCCTCTGAATCTCTGCAATGTGGAGGTCAGCCTCGAGTTTTGCTCATTTCATCTACCACACGGGACAACCTGAGGAGGGGATGTGCCCCGTGGTACCCACGCCCAGACACCCAGGTACTCTAATCCGTGGCTAGGGCGCCAGGCCCCGGCCCCTCATTCGCCCCGATCGTTTCAAACAAGGTTCCCTCCTGCCACCTGCCGGCCCACTAGGGTCTGCGCCACGGGCCGGGCGCCGCCGCGCACTTGGCGAGGAGGGGCCCCGCCTCCGCACTGCACATGCCCGGCAGAAGTCCGGGCGCGCAACTTGACTGAGCCTCCCCGCCCGTCCGCGCTGGCCTCAGTCTCCTCTTTCCTCTCCCAGGCGAGAGGACTGCGGAGGCCCCTCTCCGAGTCTCAGACTGCGGAGTCTGAGACGGCGAGAGGAACCCCGGAGGAGAGACTCCTCCCCTTCCCCAGCCCTTCTGGCTCGGAGAGGCAGGCAGAGGCCGGGGCTTTAGAAAGTTCTTGCTAAGTGGTGCTTCCTTTTTTTGCCTTCGGGCCGAGGTGGGGCTGGGATCTCCGAGCCCAGCTTCGCCTCTCGGAAGGGGCACCTCTCTTCGGCCCCAGCAGCCCAGGCGCCTCGGAGCCGCTCTCTGCAGAGCCAGGGGGCAGGTCGGCTTGTCCGCGTGCGCCTGAGCATGGATCGGCGGTCCAGGGCTCAGCAGTGGCGCCGAGCTCGCCATAACTACAACGACCTGTGCCCGCCCATCGGCCGCCGGGCCGCCACCGCGCTGCTCTGGCTCTCGTGCTCCCTCGCGCTGCTCCGCGCCCTCGCCTCCTCCAACGCCCGCGCCCAGCAACGCCGCAGCCTCCTCAACGCCCACCACCGCTCCGCCGCGCAGCTGCCCCCTGAGCCCCCCGAGTCCGACCACGAGCACGAGGAGGCCGACCTCCACCTGTCCCTCCCCGAGTGCCTCGACGACGACGAAGAGTCCGACTACGAGTCGGAGACCGAGCCCGACTCCGAGACCGACTTCGAGACCGAGTCCGAGACCGCCCCCACCACCGAACCCGAGACCGAGCCCGAGGACGAGCGCGGCCCGGTGGTGCCCAAGCGCCCCCCCTTCGGCCAGTCTCTCACCGAGCGTCTGCGCGCGCTGAGGCTGCGGAGCCCCGACGCCTCCCCAAGTCGCGGGCAGCCCAGCACTCAGGAGCCCCAGGGCCCCACCGAGGGGGAGGAGCCCGAGCAGGACGGAAAGGATCCGCGGGACCCCGAGGAGACCGAGGAGCCCAAAGAGAAGAGGCAGCCGCGCCGCTGCAAGCCCAAGAAGACCACCCGCCGCGACCCATCTCCGGAGTCCCCTTCCAGGAGGGGGCCCATCCCCATCCGGCGCCACTGATGGAAGACGCGCCCCAGATTCTCCTTGTTTTCTTTGATCCAGGTTGGTAGCCCACTGCTAAGTGGGGAACCGAGGGTGGTGCCGAGCGGCGGGAGGGAGAAGGGAAGGGCTGGGAGGAAGGCGGGAAGAGAGCGGGGTCGGGTGGCCATCCCAGGCGTGGGGGACCGAAAAGGGCGAGGTGGCAAGGGACCCCCCAATTTCCCCTGGGCGCCAGGGGCACCCCGGAGGGTAAAGGCTTGTTGGACGGCGGGCTCCTTGCGCCCCACTGGGACAGCCGATGGTCTCGGAGGGGTTGCCCAGGCCGCGCGCCTGAAGCCTGGGCGAGCCTCCAGGTCTGAACCACACAGCCAACAAGCATGGGTAAGTCCCTCGTTTCACCCTCCTAGAAAGAACCGTCTCAAACGAGTGGGCTTTGGCGGGCACCGAAAACGTGGTTAGGGAGTGCGCGCGCAAACTTTGACAAAGCCGGAACAGCCGCGCTGTAGCGACACTGTTGCGATGTGCGAAAAGTAATCAGAATGGGATTGGGCGAGAACTCCGAGGCCGCCGGCTCCTGGGCGAAGTCGCGCGCGCGCGGCGCTTCAGAGGCTTGGACCTTGGAGCCCAGGTCCCGATGCTGCCCGTTTGCGGCAGCCAGACCTCGGCGCCTGTACCCCCAGCGGCTGCGCGCCGGTCGCGGGGGCCGCCAGGCGCTCGCAGGGCAGGCTGCAGAGAGCGTGCGCACCTGCTTGGGCGCCCTAGAGCCGACCTCTCCCGGCCCGCCAACAGCTCCCCACGAGCCGCCGGTGCTTGGAGAGCAGGCAGAGCAGGTACGGGGGCCTGGGGAAGTGCCTCTACGGGCTACCAGGGTTGGCGACACAGATTTGGCCACGTCGGGGCATGGCCAGCCTTTTGGCGCAGCTGGTCAGGCAATGAGGCTAGGTACAGCTTAGCTGGAGAGGCGCCGGGCAGTCTGAGCAAGGCCCTGGAGGCAGGAGATAGAGGGACTGAGACGCCAACCAGGTGGTCGCGCGAGCAGGAAGATAAAAAGGGGGACAAGGGACCGGCTGGAGAGGCGGTTGCATCCATCTGTCAGGACACCCTACCGTGCGTCCGCAAAGAGTACGGCACCCGCGGAGCTGGGGAAAGGCGCTGGATGCGATGCGCGTCCTTGGGCAGTCCGCCGAGAGGGGGCAGGGGCCGGCGGCTAAGGCAGTCGCGAGGAGGGGAGACGGCGCCCTCCGGCCATTTTCCATTCTGGTGGAGGTAACTTTGGAATCTGTAACCTGGAGGGCGAAGCGCCCTGGTGCCCAAACACAAACGCCGCCGCCAGCTGGTAGTCGGCCGTCCGCGCAGAAAGCGTGCTTCCCTCGCCAATCCTAGGGAAAAAGGCGGAGAAGTACGATTTGAAAACATCTTTTCTTGATGCGCGCGATATGGTGTTTAGCCCCGGCTGCAGCTGATGAGATGGATTTGGGGGAAACACGGAGTGTTTTGAGGGCTCGGAATGAAAGGTCGGGTTCTCATTCTCCTAACCAAAGGATGCCGCTAGAATAAAAACACTTTAAAATGGTCTCTCCTAGGACCCTCCCCAGGAAGCGCGCAGAAGCATCCCAGGACTTAAGGGAACAGGGCTGCGGCGCTGCGGAGGGTGGTCGAGTGCCTTCCTGGTCTCGGCCAGTAATTACTGGGAAGGCAGGTTGTCGGTTAGCAAAGGGCACTGGTCCGGCAGCGGGAGTGTCTTAGCGACCGGACTGCTGAAGGGGATGGAGGGCCTTTGGCTGGGAAGTGCCTGCACCAAGCGCAGCGCCGAGCTGAAATGTGCCCTGACCGTAAACAATGCTGGAGTGTCCCTTTCAGTGGTGGCATGACTATTCTTTTTCCCGGTACTGTCTTGTGCACTAAGTCCAATGTCTCCGGAAAAGAGGCACGTCAAGCCGAGGTTCTGGTGGGATCTGAGGGTCCGTTTTGCCAGTGTGGGAGTCCTCTTCGTAGACTGCGGAGTCTGGGGGCCACTCCTCCCGCTAAGCTAGGTTTTCATTACGGAAATGAGTACGTCGCCTTGTTGCAAGGTAAATAAACAAGTTTTTAAAAAGCCGTCTGTGCACGCCCACCCCTCCCTCCTAGTCCGTGTGTTTTTCACACAGACGCCTGCACACAGGCTGTAAGCTTGCCCCAGGTCCCCTCTCGGGGAGGGCGGCCCCGTCTAGAAACACTTAAACAGCTTGCGTTTCACTAGTCCTTCCGGGAACTCTACCACTGAGTCAAAGCAGAGGGTGGACTCATCTCAGCCCAACTGTGAAAACCTGTTAGCAAACCGGCACACCCCTCCCCCGCCAGGCCCCTCCCCCCGCCCTCCCTCCTAAAGGGCAGCGGGGACTAGCCCTTAGGGACACTCGTTTGCTGTGAGTACACCTAGCCCCGGACCCACCCCGAGGAAAGGGGCTTTGCTGGGTAGACGCTGAAGCCTTTTGCTGCCTGAGGCACTCGGGTTCAGCTGCCTTTTCGGGAGGCTTTTCTAGCAAATTCTCCAAGCCTTCCCAATTCCCTGGCATCTCCCAACAGGCCCTTTGTTTCTCCTGGCCAAGCTGGGTTAGCATCTGAATGGGCTCTGATTGCCCTTTGACCTGGGGGGGGGTCTGCCTGGGAAGGACCTCTCCACCGAGCAGACCTCCTAGCTGCCTGCAGACACAAACTACCAGCCCTGGAGAACATTCCAGATGGGGAGAGAATCAAGCCGATAAAAATGTATGATTTTTTTTTCCCCTTCACTACATTAATGACAATTGCATTTGGATGGGTCATGGTGCTCTGGTGACTAAGTTTGTTGGGTTGCAAATGTGTCTAGCAACGTTCTAAGATTGAGTGGTGACGACCTGGCAGAGCTTCACTTCTCATGTTTTGAAAACAAGACTTTGCATCTGTGTTTATCCGGATTCCAGAACGGGCAACCATAAAGCAGGGAAGGGTTAAGATCTTGTTTCTGGAATCTGCCAGCTTTACAGAGGACGGCTTGCCAGCCCTTTGCTCTGTAGCACTCATTGCAGCAGCTGGGGCCGTTTAATGAGGAAAGCTGGGACTACAGTGCTGGTAAGAATGAGGTGGTTTCTTTTTTTTTTTAATTAATCTGTATGAATTCTAATTTATGTGAATTAGTGCATAAAGTACAGGGTGCCCCTGAGAGGAAACTGAGCAGACACCCCGGTACTGGGGAAAGCGGGTCTCTCACCAGGAAGGTGACTAAAAACAAGTCATGATAATCAAATTAAATGCCAGAGACCAGTGACATCAGAGGCTCTGCCGACGGCCAGCCATGGGAGGAGCTGCTCGGATCCAACCTGAATCCCCAGGTTCCAGAATTAAGGAAGGACTTAGTCCCCAAATCCTGACGCCCTCAGAGTGGGTGGTGGGTCCAGGAGAAAAAGCCCTGGGCTGAACCCGATTCCAGGCCTCTAGACCCAGCACGCCTGCCTCAGTTTCCTCCCATGGAAAGGTCTGCAGCTGAGTGAGATGTTCCTCTCAAGTTCCCAGCCTGTGTTAACAAGCCTGAGGTGCCTCACTGAGGTGCCTGCGTCTGGTTTAACGCTAAGGAAGCCCCTCCCCCCCGCATTTCCAAAGCTGAGGGAACAAAAAGCACCAGCTGTTTAGAAATGGGATTTGTGTGGCTCTGAGGTCCTTTTGTGTCCAATCTGCTCTTTTGGGCCCTTGGCAAGAAGGGCTTCAGGGGTCAGGTTACAGAGTGCAGACACCAGTGTGGCCTGCCCCTGAGAAGAGCAGCAGAGCTGAGAACGGGCCATCCTTCCAGCACATGTGGCGTGTGTGGGTCTCAGGCATGTGTGTGTGTTTCCACACCCTCCGTCTCTCTCCCTCACCCGAGTGTCTGCAAACAGCCGTGTCGTAGTGGGAGCCGAGAAGGAAACTCAAACTGCAGTGAGTACTGCAGCTGGAGCCAGAATGGCTGACTTGAACCCTGGGTAAGGGGGCCCACGTGTGGAAGGCAGGCGATGATGTGTGAGCCTGGTCGCTCTGGACGGTAGTGAGCTTGGTTTGGTCGCTCTGGACGGTAGTGAGTTTGGTTTGGTTTTGGTGTCCTGCTGAGCCTAGACCTAGAGAAACGGCTCAGAGGTGGTGGCCAGGGAGTAGGAAACGAGCGTTCCTCAACCAGTTTATCCTCCTCTCTTTCACTGGCACAGACGGGGACACACACGCGCGCACGGGCCCCGAACTCCTCTGGACTTTTTCCTCACTAGACTCCTCCCTCACGCAACATTACCACCACAGCCATCCGGACACCCTGCAATGCTGCTGCCGCCCTCCACCCGGATGAGAACCAAGATTGTTTTTGCCCAACCCCCAGCACCCTTATTCCCCCCTGCAGATGCATGATGTAAGCAAAACATTTTAAAAAACAAAAAGAAACCTGGTTTCTATCAAGTTGAGTGATTCTGTATCCCCATTTTGTTTTCTGTTTTAACCTCTTGAGGGTGTGTGGATCCCAGGCTGAATTTGACTGATGTTCTGATAAGGTGGGCTTCACTGCTATTCCCTTTTTCTAAATCACATGTTTCTTTCCCACCACCCCAGCACCTCCACAATGCATTCACAGGACAGCAGCGCAAACGGCCTGGGGACGTTGTTCTGCAAGGCAGGGCCCCCACGGGCACCTGCTGATGGCACTCAGCCAGCTGAGGCAGGACCGAGAGGAGCTGGCCCCCCACCCCCCACCCACAGCCTCACTCCTCAGTAGAACGGGGAAGCCTGCCTTCCCAGTCTCCTTCGTGTGGGCACAGCCAATGTGCTGGTGTTAGGATAGGCTCCTTACAAATCAACAGGGAACACGGCTGTCAGGGTAGGTGATGGCAGAATCCGGGGTGGAGGGGGCAAAGGCTGGAAGATTTGAAGATGACAAGAAGAAGTGAAACTTTTGGGGGAGTCACAGAAAACCTGGGCAGATGTAGAGAAACAAAAGAACACTTGGGAAGGAACACAAGGTTTACAGATAAGGGGGACACAAAGCCAAG